AAGAAATGACCGAATTGAAAAGGATTGTTTTGGTAATTAGAAAAATTTGGTACGACTAGCTGTAGATCGGAGACTGAGAAGGACTAATGATTCTCTTCCATCCTTTTTCTATCCTTTTTTATTTTCTCCTCTCACATTTTTTGTTTTCTCTTTCTTATTTTATAAAAAGTTAATATAAAATGTTAACCTAATTTAACTGTGACCGTTCAGATAAGAGGAAAAAAAAAGACAAGAAAGAATCCTACTCCGGGACAAAAGGGAAAGTTAGTTAAAAAAAAGTTGTATAGAAAAAGGGAAAACAATTGAAGGAAGAAAGAATGATAGAGATAGATGAGAGTTGGGGGAAGGAATACGAACACAGGAAGTAGATTTTTTTACAGAGTAACGCTAGAGAGATTAAATTTATAAATAAAATTTTATTAATTAAATGACAGGAAAATTGGTGTTGGATTATTACTTAAATATTGATAAACGTGTTCATTCCTATTGATGACACATCATTTAATTTACAAATTTTGTCTACAAATGTAGTTTACCTAACATTACTCTTTTTCACATGACCATATGGCTCCTCTTTTGCTGTTTGCTTCATATTTTTGTTATAACAATGCTTGGCTATGAGTAAGAACTCTATTCAATGATGGATAAAAACACTATTAAAAAGATTTCGTGTTCAAATCATGAAGTTTTATGCTTATGATCAGAATCTTTTATATTATAAATCACATTACAAAGCTTATCTTTGCCAAAAAAAAAAACAATTAAAACTAAAATCGTTTAGCCAATCTATTATAAATATATTGACGGTTCATAATGCTTTTATAAATTTTATTTATCTGTTTTATATAGTTTAATGACTAAATGATCTATCATAAACACGAAGTTCTATGTATCAATAACAAACAATTTTGAGTAAGAACTCGTATTCATCTTTTAAGTAACCAAGTATTTTTTTGTTTGTTATTTTACCGACATTAGGATATTTACAAGACTTGCTCCAAAATTTGAGACCAAACTATATATGAGTAGGGACAAACTAGTCTTGAGCATGTATTTTCACCATAACTTGTAGGGTAGATATGAGACGTTTTCCAACTGAGTAGGGACCAAATAGTCTTGTTTTCATTTTATACCGTCGAGAGTGTATAAGAAGAAGAAAAAAAAATTGTGCAGAAATCATTTTTCGAACTGTTTATGCACCTGCTTAAGTTTATGTGAAATTTTTTAGTTTTTGTAGAAGACAAAGTTGGTTTGCTTGAAAGTTGTTTTCTTATTGCAATTTTTCAATTCCAAACAAAAGTAGTTGTTCACATATATTTGTTTTCTTATTGAAAAGTATGATATGAGATCTAGATCGTGTACTTGCTTAAGAAAATGAAGAAATGACAGAATTGAAAAGGATTGTTTTGGTAATTAGAAAAATTTGGTACGACTAGCTGTAGATCGGAGACTGAGAAGGACTAATGATTCTCTTCCATCCTTTTTCTATCTTTTTTTATTTTCTCCTCTCACATTTTTTGTTTTCTCTTTCTTATTTTATAAAAAGTTAATATAAAATGTTAACTTACTTTAACTGTGACCGTTCAGATAAGAGGAAAAAAAAAAGACAAGAAAGAATCCTACTCCGGGACAAAAGGGAAAGTTGGTTAAAAGAAAGTTGTATAGAAAAGGGAAAACAATTGAAGGAAGAAAGAATGATAGAGATAGATGAGAGTTGGGGGAAGGAATACGAACACAGGAAGTATATTTTTTTACAGAGTAACGCTAGAGAGATTAAATTTATAAATAAAATTTTGTTAATTAAATGACAGGAAAATTGATGTTGGATTATTACCTAAATATTGATAAACGTGTTCATTCCTATTGATGACACATCATTTAATTTACAAATTTTGTCTACAAATGTAGTTTACCTAACATTACTCTTTTTCACATGACCATGTGGCTCCTCTTTTGTTGTTTGCTTCATATTTTTGTTAGGGTAAACTGCCAATTTAGTCCTTGAATTATCACCTTAGTGAAAATTAGGTCTCTAAACTTTTTTTTCAGAAAAATTAGTCCCTGAATTATAAAAATCTGCCAATTACATCCCTAATGTTTTATTTGAATCTACTATATTCAATTTTCCATCAATTTAAGTCACGTTACTTACATTGGAGGGTAGATTAGTAGTTTTTCATAAAGAAATAGTGTATGGAGTTAACTTTGGAGGAGAAATTGGTAGTTTTTCATAAAGAAAGAGTGTAAGTTAACTTTTGAAGGTAAATTAGACATTAAATTTACAACCTATATGAAATGTTAAGCACTTATAGATGAGAAAATGATGGTATTACATTCTAAAGTGTGTCAAGTGACTTAATTTGGCGAAAAATTGGATAAAATAGCTTTGAATATAATAGTAGGGATGAAATTAGCAATTTCTAATGAATTTAGGGACTTATTTTACCGAAAAAATAATTCAGGGACCTAATTTTCACTAAGGTGATAGTTCAGGGACTAAATTGGCACTTCACCCTTTTTGTTATAACAATGCTTGGCTATGAGTAAGAACTCTATTCAATGATGGATAAGAACACTATTAAAAAGATTTTGTGTTCAAATCATGAAGTTTTATGCTTATGATTAGAATCTTAAGAAAACCAATGTAAAGGGCTTGAAAACTTTGAGTTTTAATGATAAGGACAAAATAAAGGGTAAATGAATAGTACCAGGATTGACTTTTTAGTGTAAAAATGTGGTTTTTCGTTAAAGTGAACAGTACCGGGTGCTTTTCATTAAATCACATTACAAAGCTTATCTTTGCAAAAAATTAAAAAAAAAAAAAAAAATTAAAACTAAAATCGTTTAGCCAATCTATTATAAATATATTGACGGTTCGTAATGCTTTTATAAATTTTATTTATCTGTTTTATACAGTTTAATGACTAAATGATCTATTATAAACACGAAGTTCTATGTATCAATAACAAACAATTTTGAGTAAGAACTCGTATTCATCTTTTAAGTAACCAAGTATTATTTTTTTTGTTATTTTACCGACATTAGGATATTTACAAGACTTGCTCCAAAATTTGATACCAAACTCTCTATGAGTAGGGACAAACTAGTCTTGAGTATTTATTTTCACCATAACTTGTAGGGTAGATATTTGACGTTTTCCAACTGAGTAGGGACCAAATAGTCTTGTTTTCATTTTATACCGTCGAGAGTGTATCAGAAGAAGAAGAAACAAAATTGTGCAGAAATCATTTTCCGAACTGTTTATGCACTTGCTTAAGTTTATGTGAAATTTTTTAGTTTTTGTAGAAGACAAAGTTGGTTTGCTTGAAAGTTGTTTTCTTATTGCAATTTTTCAAATCCAAACAAAAGTAGTTGTTCACATGCATTTGTTTTAGGAATTTTAGTTGTGTGTTGGCAATTCGACACTTTGAATTATTTGTTTTATTGTGTTTATTTTACTCTAATTCTAGCAACAATAATTTATATTTGATGTATTATTACATCAAATGAAAATGGATGTGAGACAGATGGCGTTATGGGCCTTTTGGCCCTTCTAAATTGGACTTGAATTCATATTTGTGGAGGTGGAGCCAAAAATTGTTACCTTTTTATACATTATCTTAAAACCATACATCAAATTATAGTAACATCATCGTTGTTTTGAAATTAGACAATAGAACATGGATGGCTTTACCAGAACCAGGCTTATTTTTTGCAACTTTGGGCCCCCATCTAACCAAAAATTTGTTGAAGCTAAAACAATTAACTATGAGAAGTGATTTTCGCAATTATTTTGACCTCGTGTATACTTTTGTTAATTTTTTTTCAATAATTTTCTGTTGATTTATTCATCAAAATGTACAAGAGGTGAAAATATGGATGCAAAAATCACTCCCCTTAATCGGTTCCGAGTTCATATCAACCAGCTGCTTAGTGTTTATAATCCAACTTGTGTTTTTTTTTGTTCATGTTAATTCGTAAATTTGCAAAGCCTGAAAACATTGAGACGTCACAAATTATCTCGCTTGAGTCACGTGATGAGTGTTATACTTACACATAATATACCCCGGTAAGATGTAAGTATCTGTCCATGGATGCCAGCAGGGCCAGCACCAAAAACCTTTTCTTCCTCAAAAAACTATTGTCACGATCATTATGCTCCCGAAGAGAGGCGTTACAAATTATGGCAATGGTAAAGCCTCTGATCTTGAAGAGACATAACACTGACCTGAATGAAGAGAATAAAATTATCATAAGATATCAATTCCAACATATTAACGCCTACAGACTAGGCCTACCAATCCTCTATATGTATGTATGTATGTAGAGCTTTGTTCATTTTTGTTGATGTTTCTCCAAAGTTAAACTTTAAAGCTGCGGATTCCTAGAGATTCTGTAAAGTTGTGTTGAAAAACGAAAGCAGTTTTGTTCTGTTATGCTGTGAAATTCTCTTCGAAGTGCTAAAGCTGATGCAGTTTTCTGTTCTTTGTAGGCAGTGGAGACAGAAAAACAAAAGCCACTGGGGAGTTCAGAACCTATTTTAGACAGAGACTTTACCTGTATGTTAGGCTCCTAGATGCTTTTAGGAGATCAACATAGAACTGATTTACTGGTTTTGTAGCGTTCCAGTCCAATAATGTATTGTCATGCGGAGAAAATTATCGAGGATTAAAGCCAATTAAACAAGTACTGTTGGATTGGGCCACTTGGTTTTTAAGTATTAAGGTCCTACATCCCATGCCATACACAAATGGGGAGATAAATGATGGTTTTGATTAGTGTTGTCCATCATTCCCTTGGAGCGTGTCAAAACAATTGAAAAATGCACTGTAGACTGTGTTGTTAAAGTGATACAGATTACAGAAGAAGAGGATTAGCTTTGGAGGTTGAGCTAACTACCAAAACTCACGCTTTCCCACTCCACGCGTGAACCTTCTTTCTCATGCTTGCTAGATATATATATATATATATATATATATATATATATATATATATATATATGTGTGTGTGTGTGTGTGTGTGTTGGGTCTCCTCCTGCATATATAATACTAGAGTTGTGGTCTCTTGATACCTTCATTGGAGACTTGGAGCTACACAACCATGTCTGTGAGTCTCTCTCTCTATCCCCCCCTCCCTCTCTTTCTCTTATACTGGATAAAAACTTGAGCGTAACCGAGAATATATTACCATCAACTTATCTCACTCAATACTTTATTAGTGAGACTGTGAGATAGGGTGATACTAATGTATATCCGCGGTTAGATGTAAAAACTCACACATACGCAAACACACAGTCATCACTGCGGAAATAAGAAAATATATTGACAATGTATAGATTTTGCAGATTGTGGAGGTGAGAGTTCCAAACCTTGATTGTGAAGGATGTGCTTCCAAGTTGAAGAAAGCTCTCTCCAAACTGAAAGGTACACAACCTAATAAACAGGGTGTTTTTATTCTTAGCTTTTGAGTCACATATTATGTATTTCTTTCCACTGCAAACTAACTGCAATTTGGAACAATAGAACTGGAAATACATTATAAGCAAATAATAAGTCGTTTCGTATATAAATCACGGTTTAGTATCTCTTTTATTAACGTCTTAATCTCCCTCAATTTTTCATTTTAATTAAAAATACAAGCGAAATATAAAAAAGCATTTGAAGTGCTTTTACAACTCAAAAATATTTTTTCTTAAAAACGCTTTCAGCCAATTTAAGGGCACTTTCAAACAAACATTATTTTTTGTGAGACCTGAACCTACTCAGCATTTTAAATTATAATTTATTATTTTGTATTTTACTTTAAAAAAAATGTAATCTACAATTTTAACAGGCGTGGAAGAGGTGGAAGTAGAAATGGAGATCCAGAAAATAATAGTGAGGGGATATGCATTGGAGGAAAAGAAAGTGGTGAAGGCAATTAAGAAAGCTGGGAAAGCAGCAGAGCCATGGCCTTTCCCTGGATACTCTCACTTTGCCTCATTTTACAAGTACCCCACCTACATTGTCAACCATTACTATGACACTTACAAGAACCAAACCACCACCGGCGTCCACACCTTCTTCCACACTCCGTCGGTTTATTCCGTCGCCGTCGCATCCGACGAGGCCATTGCTTCGCTTTTTAGCGACGACAATCCGCATGCTTGTGCTATCATGTGATTAATTCTTTTTTTTTTATTTGTTAATTTTGTACTTGTTTTTTGAGCTCCTTTCGCTTGCTTTTTTTTGTCTCACGGTTTAAATTTGAGTTGTTCATTTCTTTTTATGGAGTTTAAGATTTAGGATTCGTTTGATTTTCATTTCATTTTTAGTTTTTAAAATAAGAATCTGTTGTGTACGAGTTACGTGAGAGTTTTAAAACCTTGATTGTTCAACTCAACGATAAAAAATAGGAGTGTTAAAAAAGTAAAAAAGAATGTGTGCATGATCCATTTCCCTTTAAAACTATTGAGTTGTATTTGTATGATTTAGTTAATTTAGTCAAAGTGGTAGTCAATTTTAATTGAGACTAGATTTAAAATTTTAAATCATCATGATTACATTCGGTATCATTAGATGAATTTGGTTTTTGATATTCGTGAATAGGAAAACTTATTCAAACTTAAACAATTGAATCACTTATATATGTTCAAAGTAATTAAGTCTTGAACTTAAGTTAGACTAATCACTTATATTCTATATCATTAGATGAATTTGATTTTTGAAATTCGTGAATTAGATAACTTATTCAAACTTAAACAATTGAATCACTTATATGTGTTCAAAAAGTAATTAAGTTTTGGACTTAAGTTAGATTAATCAAACGTTACACTTGGGGAAGCATATTGAGCTTCCTACTTGCAGTTTGAACATTCACGATACGAGTGGGAATGAAATAATAAAGTTGGATAATTGAGACCAAGCCAAAAGTTGTGCGTTGAAGAGAATCTTGAAAAAGAGCAACAAAAAAAGTCATTATCTTTTCCAGTAGGTGTGCCCCAGCCAACTTGAGTGCCAAGTTTCCATGCCATGATTAGAAGACTTACATCAATACCTTATAAAACTCAATGTTTGTCTCACTTTGTTGAATTTCCAACAATCCTAGCCAATGGTTTTTGTTAGAGGTATTCATCAATTTCCCCTCTGAACTTGTAACTATTGGCCAATTTCTCCCCTCAACTTTAATTTTGGCCAATTTCCCCCCTCAACTCTCATAATTAGTCAATTTCCCCCTTCAACTTTAATTTGGCCAATTTCCCTCCTCAACTCTCATAATTAGTCAATTTGCACCCTACTGTTAATTTTTTAATTTGATCATAAGTAAACAAGAGTGTGTAAGAAACTAAATAAGATGTATGTTAATCATTTTTCTATGTCTTTATCCTATTACAAATAGATTAAAATTTAGAATTTCACAATTTATCATAGATAGTATTATTAATCATAATAAATCAGTATAGAGTAATTTTATTTGATTTTTTACTATACAAAATTGATAACGAAAAGGATTGATGTGTACATTTTTGTATGTGAATACAATTTTCTTTATAAAAGTGAAAGCTAAGTTCAAGTAAATTGTGGAGAATCGAGCTTTAATGCAAAAATGGCTAGTCAATTCATAATTTTCGACTCCTTATTAGAATAGCACATTTTATTGAAATAGGTTTGATCCATGAGTTTAGGATTATTATTTCTTCTTCTACATGCTTTAAACCTGATTCATAACTTTTTCTTATAATCAACCCATATCACATACTAATTGTATTATGTTTTTGTACATTTTACCCTATATTATGCAGGTGAGTTTATGTTAATTTTAGTACTTTGTTGGAAGTTATTAGAAAGATTGAAAGAAAAAAAAAAGAATAGATGGAAAATTAAAAAAAAATTAACAGTAGAGTGCAAATTGACTAATTATAAGAGTTGAGGGGGGAAATTGGCCAAAATTAAAGTTGAGGGGGGAAATTGGCCAATGATCACAAGTTCAGGGGAGGAATTGATGAATACCTCTTTTTCTTTTTGTTAATAGATTTCTTTTCTTTTTCCACATTTCCCTCTTTCGTTTGATGTGTGAGTCACATGCATGACATGTTAGCAAAATAAACGGAAATTTAACAAAATTTAATGACAGAGGGTAGAATGAGACACACAATAAACATTTAAAGAGTTATGTGATACATTTTGATTTTTATGGGGCAAAGTAAGAGAAGGATTGAGTTTCCAATGCGATTAGTGTAAATAAGCCTAATTAGAACCCCAAAGTGGAATTGGATTGGACATTTCATCTTCATGGGCACGTTGGGGCAGAAGTTTGAATTTGAAAAGGGAACTCGATAGCCCCAAATTAATGAGTGATGTTACATATCCAATTGTTCATGTACATGCTATTTGGTAAAGTAGTAATTATTAAGATTTTTCAGCGACACAAATAAAAGTTAAGTTGGTTAATATTAAAGTCAAAACTTTTAAGTTTCCAACGACGAGTACACCATTTTTAAGTCGTTTAGGCAAGAAAATACTATGAAACTTAAATATGTACATTCAAAGGTAAAACAATGTCGTAGTTTTTCTTCTACAAAGTTAATTGGTCATTTGAAAGTAATGAGGTCTTGGGCTCCAAGTTGCATGTTTCTTTATCTTGAAATTTAAATTCATTCAACTACAAAAAAGAAGAAAACATTATGTAGTAAAATTATTTTGCTAATGGTAAGGTCATCTTCAACCAAAGGAGGGTCAGATGACTCGTTTTAGCCCTCTAGCCCTCCAAGAAATTAATCTTTTAATGAACAGTGCATGATCGTATTTTTTACCATCTCCAATCGAGGGGCCAGAGGACCATAGGCCAAACATAGCCATATGAAAAAAAATCATCTTCAACCAAGGGTTCAAGGGGCAAACATAATTTATTATTGTAATTGATATACTATGGTTACTTAAATTAAATTACTTCAATAATTTTATGTTATGGATTGTCAATAATTTTTATGTTGTTAAATGCTTTAAAAATGTTGTTTAAGTTCCATGTTGTTAATTTTTTTTATGTTGTTTAATGTTACTTAATGTTGTTTAATATTGTTTCATGTTACTTAATGTTATTTAATGACTTAAAAAGTTATAGGAAAAAAAATAGAATTTTTAAATTTTTGTAAAAAAAAAATGTAAAAAAAATGTAAATATGAAGTCAACATATTGGGCCTGGCAGGCTGGTTTGGGCCAGCCAGTTGGTCATTTGGCCATTTTTTCTTCAATGGGGCCCACGAGCCCTTTGACTTGGCCATCGGTTGAAAACGTTTTTCGAGCTATTTTCGAACTTCTGACCTCCTAAACCCATCGGTTGGAGATGGCTTAAGTGGCCAAACTGTACCTAAGGAACCATTGCTGTTGGATGTTACTTCTCACTCGCATTCATGCATGACCCACCCGAATTCAGACCCAAACCCAACCCCAAGTCCAGGCCCACTGAACCTTTATAAAAAAGCGGCCAAATCACAAAATCTCAATCTCTCTCTCCTTTTTGTTTGTGTTCTTCCATTCCTCCTCTCTCAGCAATATGGCTCAGGTGCTTTTCTAACTTTAATTTTCTTTTTTTCGATTAAATTTTATAAATTACAATCCCTTCAAGTATATGCAGATACAGATACATATACACCTCAGAACATAGAGCATAACCCTTCCTTTTGTTTTCTGTAATTTTTTCTGTAATTTTGCAGCAGAAGGTGGTCCTGAAGGTTCTGACCATGACCGATGACAAAACAAAGCAGAAAGCCATTGAAGCTGCCGCTGATATTATTGGTATTTCTATTCATTTATTTTTTCCAAGTTTTGTTTGCATCTTCAATTGTTTAAATATATCCAAAAAGCACTTATTTTCACAAGCGTTCTCACTGAAAACAAGTGCTTTTTTTTATTAGAACCAGAAATAGTTCTAACTTTTTCTGTAAACATTGTCGAAAGCGCTTTTGATACTAAACCTAAATAAAGCTTTCTTTATTTCTCTTATTTACTTTGTTCTTGGGTGATTTGGTGAACAGGGATTGATTCGATCGCCGCGGATCTAAAGGACCAGAAGCTAACAGTGGTAGGACTGATGGATCCGGTGGCCGTAGTGAAGAAGTTGAAGAAGGTTGGTAAGGTGGACATAGTAACTGTCGGACCAGCCAAGGAAGAGAAGAAAGATGAGAAGAAAGATGGAAAGAAGGAGGATAAAAAAGAAGAAAAGAAGGAGGACAAAAAGTAAAATATAGTTACCAAATTTTATCCCTCATGGCAGTTATGTGTTTTATTTTTACTTTTTTTTTGTCATATAGTTATGTATAATGTTTTGTTTAATTTCATGGGATTGGGATGTAAATAAAAAGGGCAAATGGATGTACTTTGATAATATTAAGCAAATAATTAAGCAAATGGCTTCGGTAGAGAGGTTAGATTTTTTTATATATGATTTATTTTAATTTGATTTTAATTATGGTGGGAGTGTTTTTTGTTAAATTTAGTGTAAAAAATCAAATGTGATTACGTCCACATCATTTGATAAGATTTATTTTATAGCAGCGATATTTATGTTATTTTAATTTGATTTTAATTACGGTGAGAGTGATTTCCGATTTGAACTCAATGTAAAAAATCAAATGTGATTGTATCCGCATCAGTTGATAAGATTTTTTTTTATGCAAACGCTATTCTATTTTAATTATAATGAGAGTGTCTTCTGATTTGAACTCAGAATCAAATATGATTACGCTCACATCGAAATCGAAGTCAATTGATGGAATTAGGAAAAAGGTGCGAAGAATATGTTGGCGTCATAATTTGTGGCGCCTACTGAGCCAGGGCACGCCCCATGCACTCACCTGAAAAGGAAATCCATGAACATGATTTCATGATTCTTGTTGGTACGAATGTGATTGATTATTGCACAAAAATCCAGTGTATTTTATTTATTTTATCAATTATTGAGATGGATTTGGTTGAAATTAAGCATTGGATTATATTATTTATGTTAGCGTTGAGCTGGAAATGAATGATTTTGTTGAGTCATCCCCCATGCCTTTTTGCACACGCTGCGTAAAACGAGTTTCATACGATTATGAGTATGTGCTGGTAAATATGGGAGACCTGTTTCATGCGATTCGGCTTGTGTTTATCGTGTTTGTGCCTCTTTTGGATCATATTTGTTATTTTAATGAGTCGTGTCGTGTTAAACTTTTTACAAGTTCTTAATAGGTGACTTATTAACGATCTGATTCGTTAACATGTCTTCGTATCAAGTTAACAGGTCATGCAAGAAATTACCATGTTTAATGACTAGACATGGCAAATGGGTCGTGATCGGTCGCTATCGTGTCATACTTGTTATCTTAACAAGTTGTGTTGTGTCAAAATCTTAATGGATTTTTAACAAGTGACCCGATAACGACCTAATTCATTAACAGGTCGTTCATATCTAGTTAACGAGTCATGTAAGAAATTATCATGATGTCTAGACTTGACAAACAGATGTTGTTCATACCATACCCGTTATCTTATCGGTTTTTTAATGAGTGATTCGATAACGACCTGATTTGTTAACGGGTTGACCCAGAACCTGCAATTCATGTCGTTTTGTGTCGAGTTAATGAGTCGTACAAAAAATTGTCAGATCTTGTGACTGGTGCCTGAAAGTTTTGTATTTGATTGCAACCTCGGGAAATTTAGATATATTGGGATATTTGGTTTTATTAAAGAGAGGGCAGGTGAAAAGGATATATAATCTTGTTATTTCTAGCAGTATTTCAATTGAGATACAATCTAAATAGAAAATATTTAGTGGTTAAATCAGCCACTTTTAACAGGGAATTGGATCCCCTCTTGAACAAATGGTGGGGATCCTCATGATCATACAAAACATACCATTGGATTTTGATCCAACGGCTACAAACAGGCAGGGAAATCCCTCTAAAAGTTATAATAATTGTAGCCGTTAGATCAAAATCCAACTGCCCGTGTTGTGTGATCATGAGGATCCCACCATTTGCTCAAGAGGGGATCCAATTCCTTTTTATAGTTGTTATTTGTTTGTCTTGGTTAGGCTGTGACGCTTAATCTGTAATAACTACAAACAGCAGGAGGCCAGCCATAGCCGGTTCTATAGATTCTTGCGTTGGAAATAAAATACTTTCCCCGCATGCGAAACGCACAAAATTATACATAAGAAAATCCCCTAAAAAAGGGAAAGGATCCTCTCCAATCCCTTCCACCTAATCCACCAAGTTCGGAGATCCAAGTCACTGAAATTTGATCAAACGGCTACAAACTGGGGCCTACTTTAAAAATTATAATAACTTTAGCCATTGAATCAAATTTCAATGGCCCGGATCCCCGGACTTGGTGGATTAGGAGGAAGGGATTCGAAGAGGATCCGTTTCCCGGTGATTTTAGTTAAATTTTATAATTATATGATGATTGCAGAAAATACTGAATATTCTTTATAGGGAACTATTATTAGTACTCTAAAAATTTCATTCTACACTTCTCACAAGTGTATTTTTCTTTCTAATTATAAAAAGTTTGAAGTGCAAAATGAGATTTTTAGAGTGGTTTCTGTTATATGCAGAGGTCATATCAGTATGTGTTGGAATTGGAAAGCAACAAAAACCTACGTACTCGTTGTGTCATAAGACTCGTCTGAAAGTGCTTTTAAAATAGCTAAAAGCATTTTTGGTATAAATGTTTTTTTTAAACCAATTCTTAGTAAAAATACAAGTGAATCTTAATTGGAACCTAAAAATATTTTCTTTAAAAGTGTTTCAATCATTTTAAAAACACTTTTACACAAGCCCCTAGAGTGACAATGAAAATAATACAAAATTGTCCACAATTTCAAGCGTTTTTTTTTGGGAGTTTTAACGAAAAGCCCATGGTACTGTTCACTTTAACGAAAAATCACATTTTAACACTAAAAAGTCAAACATGGTACTATTCATTTTACCCTTTATTTTGTCCTTATCGTTAAAACTCAAAGTTTTCAAACCCTTTTCATTAGTTTTCGTTTTTTTTTTTTTTTCTCATGAGGAATGAGAGAAGTAAAGGTATTGCCATGGCGGAATTGTACGAGGTATTGCTACACCATTTCGGATTACACCCCAATTTAAGGTATAAACTATGTTAGCTTAGCTTCCAGTTCAGCATCTTAGTTACAGTTGTCTGTATTTTCACAAATTTAGATTACATGGTCCAACAACCTGTTAATTTATGTGTTGACACTGCAAACTTAAGCGATACGTACCAGCCATGAAAATCTGCAGATAAAAACTTCAGTTCTCCCTGTCGATCCTTGCCTTCGGTTTATTAATGGAATCTGCTATGTTGACCAAGAAAAACCTACAGTTCTCTAAGTGAACCACACCAAAGTTGTGATATTTGAAGACAATTAGCATTGCATTTCATAGAAACATAAACATCCTTGATAAGTTCCAAGAAAAAGAAACACGCTTTAATAAGCATTAGAAATCACGTAATCTTACCACCGAGAACAATACATGTGAAGGGAAATGAACGGAGATGGTGCTTGCAGCAACTCATACTCGAAACTTGAAAGCAAATGAGTCCCTGGAAAAGAAATGCAATAAGGATAGCAATGCACTCGATTTGCATACCCTCACTGCTTACCAACAGAACGGTGCTACAGTTTCCAAGCATGAGAATCTAGTCTTTCACATACACAGAGCAAAACAACACTTTGATTTATCAATCTATCCACCTATTGCTTCATGTAACTGGAAATGAAATTTGTATGCAGCTATGCGTACGTGCAACTGTAATGTATCACTGGGTGTGAGCGTGTGTGTGGTGGTTTATGAACCTGAGAAAGATTATAAATGACATGGAAAGAGAGACCAAGAAGTCGAAAGAGAGGTAGTGAGGGAATGCACAGGGAGTGTGTTTCGAACACTAAGTGAAACCTCCAGCACTATATCTATGTTCTAATGCGAGTGTTGCCACCTCTCGTAAGCAGTATATTGACAGCATAAATGCAACATACGACAAAGCAAAACACTTAAAAACTGCTGTTTGTATATATGGATCATTTCGCACTAGAAAAATAAGATAAAAAGATAATTAAGGAATGCTTTACTTTTCTCCTCAAGAGACAACTGATACAAGGTGTGGGTACACATAACTGAGATACTTTGGAGCTACATATTGTTAACTGAGCTGAATCATTAAATTTATTCTTATGAGATTGCAAGTAAATATTGCAAATCAAAGAATTTTTACCACTTTAACATCTCCTATATCCCTTGAACTTTGAAAGTAGATGGGTATACTGCCCTTTCTCCATCATGCGTGTTATTACTTCATGAGCTTCAGCAAGCTTTCCAGCATTTCGCAAATAACTTACTAGGGTGCTGTACACAGTGAAATTCGGGTTACAGCCTCTGGATTCCATAACCTTGAGCACGGAGCACGCTTCCTCAAACTTTCTTGCCATACAAAGTCCACGAATCATGGCATTGTATGTAAATACATTCGGAAGCTGCCCATTAGGGATCATCTCATCAAACACAACTTGGGCCTTCTCAAGCTCCCCAGCCACAATATACCCGGTGATCATTACAGTGTAACAAACAACATCCGGCGTGCACTCGTGCTTTGTCATCTCATCAAAAAAATATTTGCAGGCATCCATATTTCCAGCCCTGCTCAGTCCATCTATCAACGTTGTGAAGTGAAGAACACTTGGTTTGAAACCCTCTTCCTTCATGTGATTCAAAAGATTAAGAGCTGCAAGCGGTTTGTCTCCCTTACCAAGTACATGAAGAAGAATATTGTAAGTATGAAAATCTGGAGTGAATCCACTCCTACCCATTTCGTCAAGCAGTCTGTGAAACTGATCCAACTTCCCCAATCTATATTTTGCACACATCATCACGTTATAAGTTAGAATATCTGCTGAGTGACCCTCCGCCAACATCTGTTGATAGGCCCACTCAATCAACTTGTACTGCTTCACCACAAGAAGGGAATGCAAAATTGCGTTGTACGAGTGTTTAAATGGCCTATAGTTAAACGTCTTCGATTTGATGAACCTTTCCACTACTTTCCTAGCCAAGCCTGCCTCACACAAGTGCGTATCAAAATGTTGAACGTCTGTGCTGTAGTCGGATACCCTTTCTCGATCATCTCATCAACTAACCTCCACATTGCTTTAAACTCTTCACAATCAGCAAATATCTTCATCATTAAATGATATGTGTTTGCTGTGTGCTTGTAATTTTCAAGCTGACCAGACCACACAAAAAACTTATACCCCAACTTCGCACACCGCATTTTACTCCCATAATCTATCTGTTTCAAAATCTCAAACAGAACTTCCCTCACAAGAAGCCCTGAAACCTCTATACGCAACTCACCCAAAGCTGCTTTAGTATCAAAACCAGGTCCATCTTCTCTAAGAACTTTAAGAACCCTCGCGGTATCAATCTTCGCATTCTTGAAAAAGCTCCGTCGCAGCGAGAAATGTTCCCGGGGACGGTTCTCAGATTCACAAACACCATGTTTCTCATCCAAAACCGAATCAAATTCCGAACTTTTCCACATTGTCTTCAAGGTTTCCTCCACAAACTCATACCCATTATCCCCCTTATCGCCGCGAAAGCACCCGTCACTTAACTTTCGTACTACGACAACATAACACGAAATTTTTCGAATAACCCTTGGACCAAACAGATATATACAGTTCATGACTGGTACCCATTATCTCTGCAACTTTGCAGCACTTATCAAATCCGATAAACCCAACGATACAGCAGGAATTGAAAGCAAAAATAAATTTAGATGCTTTGTATTCAAAAATTGAAGGATGCCCATTAAACTGGAGGGACTAAATTGGGGGAAACGGAATGAATCGAGCAGAAGCACTTCATTGAGTTGTGTAATCTTCGAAGAGTGAGAAGAGGTGGTGGAGGACTTACCGGAGATTAAGCAATTTGATGAGGGCGATACCGGTCTTTTGAAGCTTTTGGCTTTCGAGTCCCGCCGGAGGTTTTAGCTGTGCGAATGAGTGAAGAATTGAAGATTGCAGCTCAGGAGAAAAACCCCTATGAGCTAGGGGGAGCGGGGAGGGATTCGGTGTTTCGAGGGTAGAATGGCCCCGTGAAGCACCAAACACTATATGCCACGCTCCTAGATGGATAGGGTTTTTTTTCCCTCCCACCTGGCATCCTTAGTTGTTTTTGTCATTTTGTTCGCTGAAACTCAAAAGTTGGCACTTTGCTTTTTGAAAATCGATTGCGATCCACTTTTTCCCCTGAAATTCAAATTTTTCACTCTACTCCTTGAAACTTAATACTCACTCCACTTTGGATTGTATCTATATTTTCGTTAAATAATCATTAAGTTTACTTATGTGGCACAATTAAGGCCCACTTATGACTCACATGACATGAGTATAAAGCTCACATATCCAATTAAAGGGTGCCAAATAGATTGAAACAAGAAAATTTAATTCACAAATATTGCATAACACACTAAAATATGAAGGTAAGAAAAATAGCAAAAACACTTTAGTTATGAGTTCATGAAGGAAAGTGAGATCAAAATCAAGTTACATAGAGCAAAGTGACGACTTTTGAGTTTCAATGGACAAAGTAAGATCAAAATCGAGTTTTAGGAAGTAAAGTGGTGACTTTTAGGTTTCAGGAAGCAACCTCATGCTCCTCGTGGCCCACAAGGTTTTCTTGGCCCACGCCCTCCATATGGTCCTCATGGCTCAAGCTCTATTCAAGCTCCACGATGAAAATCAAGTTACAGAGAACGAAGCTAAAAATAAGTCTAATAGTAGTTTGGTTAGTAAATTTGCCTATTATATAGGTATATATGTATTTTTTTTTCTATTTTCCCTTATCATTTAAGCAATCTTATGAGGAAATTAGATTGTCATGTTTTAAAAATGTATATTGGTTGGGAACGATTCTAAGTTTGTACTCCACATGGTATCTCATAGACTTAATTATTAGTGCTGGTAAATCACATAATGCGGTCAGAGAGAGCTTGAAATGTCTCTTTGAGTTTTTCAGACCTCAAAATGAATGGAATAGCGTGGCAAAACCACTAAATGGCGTAAAAAGAAAACATGCGTAGTAGCATGCCATTTGGGGAGAAGTTTGAGTCCCGCAATTGAAATGAACCTTTCTTCTTGTGGGGCAACGGAGCTAAACATTGCGAATCATAAGACAAAAACGCCTAACGACAATAGCATTAACAAATACTTACAAGAAAAATCTGTTGAAATTTATTTGGTTTATTTAGGAAATTAATTAGAGATTTGATTTGATTTTGTAGTTGGGTATTTTTGGCATTTAAGCATTAGGGTTTCTTAGGTTTATTGCTATATAAATAGAGCTTGTAATTTAGTTTGAGGATCAAGTTATTCACAATGTAATCTCTTAAGGTTTTGTAGCCGTTCCGGCATTCTCGATTGTTTAATAATATTCTTATTTTTTGTTATTCTCGTTCGTTGCTCACTCTGATATTCAACTTGGTATCAGAGCGGGTTCGATCCTTTGGATCCAATCTGCTCTTGTATGGTATCAGTTTGTTTTGTCAGTTTTTGTTCTTTTGGTTTAGTTTTGGTCTCAATTATGCTGTCGCTTCCGCTTCGGTCTGTGTCCTTTGTTCTTCTTGGTCACTTTGTTTATGTTCCTTTTTTTGTCTTTGGAAATTCGGTATTGATAGTCGTAGTAGTCTGAAAAAAAAAAGGCTTGATTGTTTTTTTGGAGGCCCACACGGGGATGAAAGAAATATTAGGGTCGTTTTGTTTCTTCTCTCTCTAGGTTGTTCCCTGGATCTTGAATTTTTTGTGGGTTTCAATGTGTCCTTTTCAGGTTGTGAAGTTTGAGGTTGGATCGGGAAAATAGTGGTCGTTTGTTTTTGAGTGGTTTGGTTGTTTTTAAGGCCGCTTGTATTGGGAGGTTTGGTGTTGCTTTCCGTGACGATTGCTCGAGTGTTTGGACTGGTGACTACTCGAGTAATGTTGCGAAAGTTGGATTTTTTGCTTGCTTGTTCAGGTTTGTTCTGGAGTTTGCCATTGGCATTAGCATTGGAATCTTGCACTGGCACTGGCATTTGAATCTTGTACTTGCACCGATGGAATTTCGTATTGAAATTGGCATCGGAAATTGGCATCGGCATTGGTATTGGTATTGGCATTAGAATTGGTATTGGCATTGGTATTGGCATTGACACTGGCACTAGCACTAGAATTTGGAGTCTTGCATTCGCATCTGCTTGTTGGCAACCTCATGACGTATACCGCCATGAGTTTGACGGGGGGTGTTGAAATTTATTTGGTTTATTTATGAAATTAATTAGAGATTTGATTTGATTTTGTAGTTGGGTATTTTTAGCATTTAAGCATTAGGGTTTCTTAGGTTTATTGCTCTATAAATAGAGCTTGTAATTTAGTTTGAGGATCAAGTTATTCACAATGTAGTCTCTTAAGGTTTTGTAGCCGTTCCGCATTCTTGGTTGTTTAATAATATTCATATTTTTTATTAATCTCGTTTGTTGCGCACTCTGATATTCAACTAAATCAACTCCAAACTTGATCGTAATTTAATTGTAATTTAAACGCCGAGGATAATTGAAGGTGCGCACGGTTAAAATCCCCCCCCTGCTTTTAAGTTAAAGTACCCTCCGTTTTCTAATTCATTAGATACATGATAATATAACACATGACTTGGGAAGCCACACAAACATTCAAGTTCACAAAACAACTCCTCAAACTACAACACACTGTCTATGTCCCCATGTACTACAACCCTAAATATCCCATTTATTCACCAACAAACTTCCATCAACGGCCATCTTCAGTTGCTGGACCCCTGAAGTCTCCGCTGCTCCGCATCGCCATGCCCTCGCCGCTCCGCCACTCCACTGCCAGAACTAGAGAAACCCTCTGTACCTGTCAACACCAAAACAAATCGTTGCTCACATTCAAATTAACCAAGTACTCTTAGGGAGAGTAAGATTCAAATTTTACCAGTTGAAGAACCAAGGGACTGAGGAGAAGTGGCGCTTTCATCAGCTTTCCCAAGCAATGAACCAACAGCCCCTTTAACGGTATCCGCCACAACTTTCCCATAGCTAGACTGCTGGACGTCACCATCCCCATAATCCGGCCCCAACCGCTGGGTCACCTCCATGCTCTCGGTCACTTTCCCAACAGGCCGGGCACCGCTCCTAGGTTGCTCTGCCTTATGCATGTGTAGGGTTTCCGATATCACCTCGGACAGTGCCCTGTCCTCCTCACCAGGCTTCAACTTCTCAAACAAATAGCCTTTCACAGAAATTCCTTTGTCCTGCCCGGATTTGTTATACTCACCCCCTGTAGTAGCGGTACCAGTACTCCGGTGGACTTCTTCTTTGCCAGCTGTCCCAACACCGCCGGGGAGTTTCGACATCACTGCACTCCCTGCCCCGGCAACCTTCTCGTAGACAGGTGTCAGCTTCTCAGTAACTGCGGCTGTAATGCCCTTACCCTGTTGCCCAGGTGCAGCTGACCCGGACCTAACGGCTGCCTGATCTCCATGTTGCTGTTGGTCAGTGTCCCCACCGTATCCTAGCTTGGAAGCGACGGCGTTTTTAGCAGAAATTGCCTTGTCAGCAATGGCAGACGTGGCGGATGAAACTTTCTCCGTGTAGCTACCGCCCTGGTTTGATGGGTGCTCAGGAGAAAATTGATCATGGCTTCCAGTGCTCGGGTTTTGATTTGTTCCAACATAATGGTGTAATCCTACTTACACATCAACAACGTATAAGTTATAACCATATCGACTGCATATGGACAACTTAATTAAGTACTAATCGCGTAGTTACCTGTATTAGTCGAATCATGTGCTGGAGAATAAGCATGCGGATTAACATCTTCGTGTTGATCATTGTTCCCTCCTCCATACCCAAGCTTGGAAGCAACTGCATTTTTTGCAGATATCGCCTCTTCAGCGATAGCGGAAGTGGCAGATGAAACTTTCTCCGTGTAACTACTGCCCCGGTTCGATGATGGCTTGGCATCTCCACCATGAATGTTAATCTTATTAAACGAGTGGAGAATCGGCGAAATTCCAATTTCTTCACCGCCTGTCACATGACTCACATGTAACAAAATTATAAAAAAAAATTAATCAATTAGCAAAAACTCATATATTAGTTTGTGGCTTTAGCAAAAAATTTAGAATTTATGACAAGATTATATATATGTTACTGTTTACCTGCATGAGTTGGATCAGTGACTTTAGTCTCATAGTTTGAAGGAGTATAACCTTGAGGATTGGCCTTTGGCGCATGTGGATCCTCCTCCAATCCTCTCGGTCGGTCCAAATTTACCCCGGACTGACCGAAGTGCCCTTCTTTCCTTGTAGCAAAAGCATGACTTGGGTCAGTGACATTGACATTGGTCTTCTGGTCATCTCCACGAGAAGAAATAGGGGTGCGATCGTCCAAGCCCCGGTGGTGCAAATGGACCCTGGTTTGACCCAAATGACCCCCGGTGGGTACATATTCCTTCATCGGATCGATCCTCTCCAAATGCGGCACTTCGGGAGGATCGCGATCCTGAATCGCTGCTTTCGTGTCCCCGAATCTCACCATTGGCACCTTCAAAATATCTCCTTGCCCTGGTGCACCACTCCTTATGGCTGCACGTCATATTCACAACATGTCCCATGAAAGTAGAAATTATAACTAATTTAGATTAATTTTTATTGACACACACTGGTATTCTGAATTTCTAAACTGCTCTAACGTAGATCGAATCTGGATCTAACTTTTGTAATCTATAAAGATAATCAATTCGATTATAGTCAATCTAATCTAAATTAGATCGATCTCAACAGATACTACCTCCAACCCACCTCCAATTAACGAACTAGCAAACTGACATGACCATGCCCTAAATTATTAAGATGAAAATAAATCAAGGGAAAAACTTACTTGTTGCACCATGCAATTCAGGGTCTTCGTCTTCTTCATCATCTTCCTTGTCGAGATCATTATGGTCGTGTTCGTGTTCGTGGCCATGCTTTGTGAGCTTGTTCTTTATCTTCTTCGCCTTCTCCTTTACCTTCTTCAGAACCGACTTCTCCTG